ACCATTGCATCAATATTCAGAGCTTTCTTGACTTCAGTCAGCTTTTTCTGGGTAGTATCAGAATGGATCACACGCTTTCCTGGTTTAGAAAACAAATGACAATGGTAAGCCGGACATAATTTTATCATGCATAAGTATATGCTAAGTACAAAGCTTTTAAGCTGGCAGCAACTACAGCACGCACCTAGCCTTCGGTTGCCTTTGGCTTCAACAAAACCTTCCCGTGTCATTTTATCAATGAACTTGCGGACAGTAGTCTGATTTGCTTCCCCTCCAAGCTTGTTCTGAAGCTTCGCAACTGTCACGTACTGCATCGGAAGAGCATGATACAGCGCCTGAGATAGACAAATGACAATAGAGTCAGGTAACATAAAATTGAGAACCCTGCACAATCTTGGTTTAATGAGCTTAGGACCACAGGAAAGTTGTTGGGTGTTACAAATAATTTTATGAATTAGCAGCAGTTTTTCAAAATCCTAATACGTTATGTCAAGACAAGAATTGGAATTACCTTCATGTACATGAGATCATTAACCTTTGGTGTCTTGTCAGCAACTGGGACTATTTGACCATCCATTTCTTCTTTCACCAGAGTGAACTCATAATCAGACTTCTGCAATGTAAAATTGCCACCAGGAAAAAGACTTTGACTTAAAAGCAAGAAAATATGGACTTTAAACTGAAATAAGGAGAAAAAACTAAAGCAACCTTCTGCCCGTTAATAGTGTAAGTGTCCCCTCCAGTTTTTGATAGAACACCTTCCTTAACAAGATTGTCCATAATGTCTGTAATCCAGCCAAAAAGGATTGAAAAGTAGTTAATATTGTTATAAACCTCCTAAAATAAGTGAGAACGCAAACCGGCAGCTCTAAGTGCATTCTTGAGTTTACCTTCAGTCAGAACCTGCAGCATATAATAATGCAGAGATTGAGTCAGTGGATTATATGCTAACAATATATAATACTAAGAGGGTAAGGAGCATGCAAAAGTAACACTTCTGCTGTCTTTCCAATTGTACCAACAGTCATTTTTGGCACAGTTGTTCTTCAAGCAGATAATTGAACTGTTGAAATACTTACCACTGAAATGTCCGGAAAATTCGAGAGAACATCAGTAAGTTCAACAGTGTCAGTGTGGCGGCTACTGATCCAGTCCTTTATCCGGGAAGATTGTTGTTCATCTTCCACTGAATCCTGAGTGTCATCTACAGAGCATAAAAAAGATGATTAGCCTAATATAGCTGTACAGGAAATAGCCTCAGCCAGAAATAGCTAATCAGTCCGCTCAGTTTTCAAGTTCAAATTCAACTCTCACTCTCATTGTTATGTGAAAATTGGTCTGCTAACTTGGAAAAGTGTCATTGTCTTATTACCTTCATCAACCATGCTGTTATCTTCTTGTGGTGCACTGCTATCTTCCTGTGGTTGTTGCTTATCTGACAAAAGAACCATTGTTACTTCCACTAACTCAGACCAACAGCTAAGCAAGTGGAATTACAGTAAAAAGCTATACTATGCAAAAGATGCAGACCCTCACCACCTACAGGCGCAACTATATATCGATCCTCTTGTGACTGGTTAACCTGAAAGTGGTAACAACATATATCATGTTTCCTGTGCAAATTATTTTCTGAAGGAAATACTGAAATCAATTACCATCTTTAAGCTCATTTGAAGCTCTGAATCCAAAGAAGATATAAAATGTGTTAATAAGATCAGGTTACCTCACTGTCAGATTCAGAGTAATCATCCCTTTGCATGGAATCAGCTCCTAAACTCACTTCATCATCTTGAATATCATCATTTTCATCCTCACAAGGATCAAGGACGCTCTTTACCTGTATAAATAATAAGTAAAACTAACCTACTCTGCCATATGAATCGTACATTTTAATATCCAGCAATTGCAAAGAAAATCACAATTCCTTACCTTCAAAGCTAATACAAGATGCTTACTGTTTACATTCCCAACCTCCATTTTCAAAGGATTTTTGGTCCACGAATTACGAGCTTCTTCCTCTGAGCAGGTTCTGAAGAATGGAGGCTCATACTCTGCTGGCTGCAATGCCAGATAATTGTGGTAATCTTTTTGCAAACAAAAAGAAAGTAATAAACAGCAGATGAAACTGAATTAGGAGAAAGCAATTTAAAAGGGTGTACCGTCACATCATCATAGTACAGGAGTTTCATCAGTATGGTCCGCTGGAACAGAAACAAAATCAAACAGTTTGTTGTCAAACCAATACAGATAAAGTCTCCAGAACATTGCATAATGGCTAAAAAAACCAATTTTTTCTTTACCTCTTCGGGCATCCTATCCAGAGTTCTCATCAGTTGAACCAGTGTGCGGACCATTTTACAAGCAGAACTCCTGGACATTATTAACGTGGTCCACAAATTCAGAAATTGGCCAAACAAGAACAGGATGAGAATAAAATCTGGAACTAGTTTTCATCGTAGTAACCTCATCTGGTTGGGAGTAATTTCTGCAGTGGAGTTACACTTGAATGTTCTGCCCTCTTTCTTGTTCCCAGAGCGACTGATATTCATCGAAACCTCCTGACTTTCAGAATTTGAATAACTGAAAGAAACTGCAGGTGAAGACCAATTAGAATAAATCAATTTTTTGAAAATGAGGAGGGAAAAAAAATGTATAGACGCAAAAAATTCCCACTCTAAATTCAACCAGCATTGAACATTATCACATTTTACCATCTACGTTTCTGGCTTAGGTTTAATTAATCAGATTTTATCAAGTGACTTTGATGATTAACTTTCGTTATAGCCTTACACGTATATTCCTCAATCATTGGCCCTTCAATTGTTTCGCACACGCAGAACAAAAGCGTTTTCAGGTACTTCTTCTGCAATGCATCGTATACACCTACAAAAAGAAACATAAATTCATAACCAAACAAGAAAATTAAAACCGAAACCTCATTCAAAATTTCAAACCAGTGAGCTAAGATAAAAATTAAGAAATTAATAATCAGTGAGTTCAAGAATCTGTACCTTTCTCCATCCAATCAATAAGTCTGCGAGACTCTGCGTCCATTGGCATTAGCTTTTTGATCTTCATCTCTGATGAAGATGTCAACATTTCAAAGAAAATCACCAACCGACAATTACAATTATAGCAAAATAAATTCTGATTATCAAACAAAATTTACCTAAAGCTGGAACAGACTTATCATTGAAATACTTCTCCGGGAAGAGGCCTCTGATGTAACTGATATTGAATATAGCAATCCGAAGCAGGTTCCTCGTCTGAGCTCAAATCAAATGAAATAGAATAATCAGAATCAATTCATATAACTACTGTGAATTTCGTCATCACAGTCGCACAAAGTTTAATTCATAGTAATACGATTGAGATTATATAATTTTAACGCGTTTCTAAAATTCAATATGCTATGCTACGACATAAGACTATGTGCTTAAAATTTCTGGAACAAGAACAGTTAGCTTCAGATCCATTTACGAATCATCAAGTATTCGTCAAAGCTTACATCATCAGAGTCTGTTTCAGATACGATTTATATTTGAACGATTCGAACTGAAATTTTTCAAAATTTAGCAAAAATTCATATCAAACTTCAACAGGAGAGAGAGAGAGAGAGAGAGAGACAGAGACAGAGAGACAGAGAGAGACAGAGAGATTTAAACGAAGGTAAACGAAAATTGAACGAAAACAGATCAGATTTACATAAATGAAATAGTATCAGCTCGAAACTTCAGAAGAATTTCAAACAATTCAGATTTCTATCACTGCGATCTTTTTCCTAATTGATTAGCGATCGAAGGTTACCAGAAGAAGCGAGTCCTGCTCGGTAATCTCCGCTTCCTTCACTTTCTGTGCGACAACCTGAGGAAAACGAAGATGTTGCAGGGAGATTAAGCGTGATTGTAACAATCGGTAAGAGCATATTGACGAAGATCATCAAGTAGAAAATGTATAGCTCAGAGAGCTTTCTCTCACCATTGTTTCAGCGTTCTCAGAGAAAATTGAAAATCAGAGAGAGAGAGAGAGAGAGGGAGAGGGAGTGAGGGAGTGAGGGAGTGAGGGAGTGAGAGCTATGCGTTTGCTTATATAAGGGGCTTACTTGACGAAAATTTGAAATGAAACAAATGAGGAAAGAGGCGGGAGGCTGTGAAAATTTACAAGTTACTTGCGATAGGGGTTTACGGAGAGCATGCGAAATGCGTTGAGCTTGAGAGAGTCGGTTGGAGTTCTACATGTGCCCCAAAACCAAAATCGGAGTTGTTACGGTTCGTCACTAATTAGTTGCAATCTGACAATTAGGGCGCCAATTCCAACGGTAACACCTGTTTAGTTGCCTCCGCAATCACACATATTAATTTAATTCCATCTTAACTGGGCCTCGCAATTTTTTCCTTGTTGGATTCGAATTTTAATGAAATAAATAAGTTCATTTTAATTGAAAATAATTTGCTTGTTGCAATTTTTTCTAGTTTGAAAAAAATAATCATACATGGAAATACAAATAAAATACACGAATAATGTGTATGATTTCAAAATATTCGGAAAAAATGTGTATTACTCGTGACATACGTATGGAAAATTCAGAAGGGTATGGAGGAAGTATTTTTCATTAGTGACAACAATTGATTATTTATTGAATTTAATAAATGAATTGGCTGTAAAATCAACATCAAGTTTAAATTTTCAAAGATTTTTTTGAGTTCCAGAACATGAACAAGTAAGAATTCATTTAGAGGATCAATTAAAAAATTTAACTTTTTTATTCGATGCAATTAGAACTGTTCCGAACGATAAAACAATAATAAAAAAAATCTATCAAAAATACTTCCTTACGTATATGATAAGCGAGCCTACCAACTAGGTTTTTGTTCAATGACTTAGTTAAAGATAAAATCAAAACACATAAAGAGGAGAGAGCATCAACTTTGTGTCAAATTAAACTTACCATTTTTTTTATGGTAACTAGTAACTACAATCTTTTTGTTGTTGTTGCTCTAATCATTTGAAATATGCGGAGAGAAAAAGATACTCTACTCTTCTTCCTCTGCTCATTGTAGTTCAGTCAGTGGAGATCGCTTTCTTTGTGGGTGTGAATAACACAATCTGATGTTGGGTATGAGACGCAGGTGGCCACGTACCCTTTCTCCATCTGCATCTCATCGAGGAACACTCCTTCCGATTGATCCACCGACCCTGAAACCATGAGCCCGGTACAAGTAGAGCATGCCCCTGACCTGCACAAGTGAGGCAACTTCAGCCCTGCGCTTTCAGCTGACTCAAGAATGTGAACATCTTCAGGGGCATCAAACTCAGCCCCCTCACCATTTGGCCCCAACAGCTTCACTTTGTAAACTGCCATTGCTGATACACAGAAAGAGGAAGAAGCTTTCAGCCCTAATGCTTTAGAACTGCTCCTCGATACAGAGCCATGCAAACGAGGACCCATAACAAAGGATGAGGATCTGCACGGTTTTGCAGTTCTCATGGAACATACGGTTGAAAGTCTTGCTGTCAAGACATTCAACTTCGTCATTTTAACTCCGGTATAGGGTGGCTTTTCCGAGCAAAGTTCGAAGAGAAATGTTGCTCTTCACTTGGGTTTATTCGCGTGTGAATGTTGTATATAAAGTACTGTAGAGGAAACTGAAGTTGTTGGAGGCCAGTGTTGTGGCACTTGAAATCGGGAACATGGCAGCATCACGAAATGTTCATGATCTAATGTCACTTACGGCTCTTAATTTCCATTAACAACTAACTAGACCATCAACTGAATAACACTTTTCGCAAATTTTCCCTTCTTTTTTGTTTAATTAAATATCTCAACTCAACAAAAACACACGTGTTTTTGTTGTTGCTAGGGAAGCTTGGCTTCATCCATTAACATTCAACAATGAATACTAACAAAAGATACTGATAACAACAAAGCCTTCAATTCTTTTGACAAAATGAGATTTCTTCAACAAAGAACAATATTCCACCTCTTAACACTTCAAATTTGTATATAACTTTTAAATTATCCGGAATCTTTATTTGTAGGCTAATTTTTTATCAAGAGTTTATGTGTCTTCCTTGTATTTGACCCATGTTACACCCAGATCAGATCGTCTTTCTCAATGAAAGCACATAATTCACAACAGAACATTGTTTCCAGTAGCAAATCTAAAAATACAGGAAAACACTCAGAATAGCTTTCACACTGTAAAACCGGTCATTCACATCGAAGGCTCACCTTTCAAAAGGATCACCTCTGCATGAGTTCAGGGGATAAACAGCAGCAGCTACTCTCTCCCTAAGGTTGAATTTGTTTGCAATTAGTGGCCGAACGTCTTCTACTCCAACCAAGCTCTCCAAAAATGGAAGTAATAAAAGTAATTCTTTATCAGAACGATCATCAAACCAGCTCTCAATTGGTATTCCATTGTCTACTTGGAATCCAAATGCCTGAAAGAAAGCCAGTGTACAAAATTGTTATATCTAAAGAGAACAGAGTCAATACTTCTGAAGAAAGGACAAACTCTCAGCTATCTCATTAACACTGGTCTAAGCATGCATTAATCAAGATCTTAGAAAGGACTGACTGTACTTCAATTCCAAAGCAGGCAAAGGAACATATTAATGATACACGTGAATGGTTGAAAGATAAGCCATTGACTCGAAAAATCTTGCTCCTATGAATTTCAACATAACACTACAAAGAGCTTCCGTCAACTCACTTTTATCCAGAAGCTCACTGATCTAAGGACAACCAAAGATACTCAAAGAACTATGCCAAATGCCAAAATACCCACTTAGACACATTATATTAAATTGATCACCTTAAGGGTAAGGGTAAGTGCACACAAGTCATGACAGCTATTTGGGGAGTGCAGGAAAGTTGGGAATAGTATACCTGTGGAGAGTTGTCGACTATGATAACACGTGACAAATCACGACCAAGAACTGACAAATCTTTGAGGTAATTCCCCTCCACAAAAACACAGGAATCACGAAAAACACGATGGCGAAATATCTTCCTTTTTGGGTCCAGCACATTTAGAAGCTGCTCTGCATAAATACTTTGACTAGCCGTAAAGATTATGATCTCAAAAAGAGTGGAAACTCTGTCCAGAAAATCTCTGAGATGAGGACGGCATCGAACGTATACTGTGTGCTGCTGGAGATTAAAATTTACAGGAAAAGTGAAGTCTGCGTCATCACAAGGTTCTAGTGTGGAGTGTACCAAAGTTTCTGCCAGATCAAAACCAGTCTCAGCATACAAGTCTAACCAAAGGTTCAATCAATACCTCAGAAAACAAGAGCAGATAGTAACCAAGGACTGAATGTTGTACCATATAAAGAATTTAATGAGATAAAACCAATGCATGCAAATCTCCCAAAAAAACATGCACATTTGGCACCCTTTACAAGGAAAAAATGAAAAGAAAAATATTTGACTACAGTTTAATTAGATATTTTGTCAGAATACAAAAGGCTAGGAGAAGATGCTCCTGCACTGATCCTAATTCCAACCAATATAGCTACAATTATTATGCAACGACAGTTCAAATGGAGAAGACTAATGGCTCATGTTCACTCCATTAGTAAATTTATCAAAAAGACAGGTGAAAAATGGAAAATTACTGAAATATGTTTAATTTTGATTCTCATCATCATGATGACCAAAGCAAAACATGCTACAAGGAAATTACTGTCTCCGGACACATCCAGGCTATTTTGGCAAAACAAAAGGAACAAAGAACGAGCTTAATGCACATCCTATCACATATCAACAGTTAGTTTCATGAACAATGAGAGGTGTAGTTCAAAAGCTTTCCTATGTCGAGAGTTATGCAAATAATAATATAGAAACCTGATACTACAATTTTCCATTACTCTCACCATCCAAGTCCAAAACAAGACTAGTAGGAGGGCAACTCCGTGTCTGTTTAGGCAGAAGCGTCGGCCGAAAAGTTGGGACAACAGATGACAAATCAGGTAAGTTCTTGATGAATAAGTAAGGATCAAAGTCATCAATCTCGTCAAACTCGTCATCATCTGTGTATAAATCAGTTGACATGGGCTGTTGACCATGCTCATCTACACATTCCAACTTAGAATTTTTCATAGCAAGATATATGGCTGAGACTTCAGAAGAAATACTGGCTGCTTCCACAACTGCATTACAACGAGAGTACATGTTATTTATGCCACATATCACAAGGGTTTGTGCATTCTATTTTGCTACATAGATTTGTGTTTGATTTCATTTGTATTACCAGGATATGTTATATTTACTGAAGATAATGTGTTCTCATAGTAACTCTTCTCATCTCTAACCAAGGATTCGGAAGTCTCTTGAACAACATGACCATTCAGCACATCAACTCTCAAGTACTTTATTTCACATTCTTGATGGAAATTGTGGTCTTCATTTCTAAAGAATTTAACAAAATCAACTAGGAAAAAGAAAAAAGGTAAAGATCATATACAATCTTGAAAATCCAAAACACTACTAGATGACATATTTCTAACCATTAATAGAGGAGAAGGAAAGAAACACAATTACATCACCATCAATGTAAAATAAATAAATAAAAATATTGTTTCATCTACCTTCATTAGCAGGTTCCCCATCGGTGTGCTTAGATATGTGAAAGGAAGGAGAAAATATAGTTCCCAGCATGCAATCAGCAGTTTCCTCTTTACAACCCTGCAGTAGGATTTGTACAACTTGAGAAATCTTTCAACACTAAATGCTCAGGCAACGTTCTGTTTCTTTTCTGTTTTTTTTTTCTTCTTAATTTTTATTCTAGGAGGAGGGCGAGGTGTGAAACATATTGCATATAACACGTTATTGGTTTTATAGACAACATAACTAAGCTGAGCATGGCATAGCTAGTTAATTACCTTATTCTCTATGCAATCATCACTTAAAGCATCATGCTCCAAACAAGTCTCAGCAGTCACATCACGCATCGAGTCATAATTCATAGTTGAAATGGTTGCTGTAACAGGCTCCCCATTCTTTTTATGAGTGCCACCTGAAAGTTGTGATAGGAAGATGACAGTTAAAGTCAGTAACTGGACATGTTCTAAAAATATAAGGTTAGAAGGTCTAAACAAAAATTTCTTAATGTTTAGTATATCACCTTGTAAGTGTTGATGCAAAATTCAATATTATTAGAAGCATAACTAAGTAAATCACACATGATAAAAGAAAATAATCATACGGGTAGAATCTTAAAAACAAAAATATAAAGACAAGAAAGAGTTTCAGACTTGACATAATGATACTAATAGAACCAGACATGAATAACACAAGAAGTCAATACTACAGTAAGGTACTCTATACAAGCATGAGGAACTTTTCTCGACATTATTGTTTAAACCAGTAAGAAGGTACCGTACCAACTCTCTGCTTTCTTGTTGAAGATGTAATTAGATCTGCAACCTTCTTTTCCACAAGTTGCACATTGTCATAGGCTTTCTTCTGAGCTCTTGTAACCTTGGGACTAGCATGCTCTCTAGCAGCAGTTCTTCCAGAACTTTTCTTCTTTGTTTGCATTTTGACCTTGGATTAAACTACTTAATTTTGAGAAGGCTGCAAGTACCGATTTGGCTTCTTTATAAAAAAATAATAATAATAAATTCAGAAATCAGCTAAAGAATGAATCTTCCTATAGTGTATAGGCCAATCAACTTCTATTTATAATTTTAATAGATCACATTTGCAAACTTGGGACAAATGAAAAAAGTAGCCTTCCAAAGTCTGTACATCTAGTGCAACATACATACATACATTATTAAAATAAAACTTCAACGGTGTTGGACAGCACTTGGAGAAACCGAATAATTAATCAGCAACCAGAATGCCCCCAAACTAAGCTCAATTACATAGGGGAACAGGTAAGCCATTAATTATCAGTTCCAACTCCAAGTAAAACTTAAACCCTAGAAAGCCATTATCAAAATCACTAGCTGAAGCATAAAACCATCCATAACTACATCAAATCAATTAACTCACTTCAATTATCAAGCACAAACACAACTTTGGCTTCGAGCATGCAAAACATCAAGTCCATAAATAACACCCACGCTCGCCAAAATAATCAACCAAACCCTAAAATTTGGTTCCAAAAATGCACCTCAACAACCAAAAGCTACAACTCAAGCTAAAACAAAAGCATAGTTGAACTCAACTATCCATACCTGAGTTAAAATCAAGCTGGAAGATGAGAAACCAGCAATGGAAATCACTATTCCTGTACCCAAATAGTGAGTCGGGAAAGAGAAAAATGAGAAAGATCGTGGTGATTGAAGCTTGAGCATATATGAAAACCCTAAGTTTGTTTCACCGGCTGAAACAGGAGCTTTTGGATTTGGAAGGTTTTCCCTCCAAGGGCGTACTGAAAAGAGAGGGAAAATTCGGAGGGATCGAAAATTTTATTTTGTCTGAACAGAAGGATGAGAAGATAAATAACTATCCCCAAATTTTCTCTGAATTTTTGAAATTTTTTGATCTTTCGATGACTTTCTTACGAGGGTGTCTAATAGAGACTTCTGGACTCGTCGATGAGGGTGTTGGTTCATACTCGCTCTACGATCATTGACACGTGCTATGTTTTTTGTTCTGAACGGTGAGGATCAAGCTTGTGGCTCACTTTGTTTCGTAAAGACGGATGTGAAGGTAGGGAAAGTGTATTTTTCGCTTTCTTGCTGAAATTTTGAAGAGGGAGCCATTTTCTTTCCAGATATATTTGTCTTAATTTCATTT